GGAATGTTAAAAACTCATATAAATTTAAATTCTAAATCATTAATTATTGAAGTTTGGGATGAAAATGAATGTGGGGTTACCCCACAGCTGTAGACCTCTATTATTTCTGCCTGCCGTTTCCTGATGAAAAGCTCAGTAGGCTCAGCATTTCAGGTAGACTCGGATAGTGCTTAAAAATTGCCATAGATATATCGATATATGTACACACATAAATTATATGCAGTAAACATGACATATTCTGGAGTAGTATGACTTATGCTATGTTAGTCCTAAAGTCTGCTTTGTTTAGATATTTGGCAGTTACGGACAAATAGCTATATTCTTCTTTTGTACCTTGGGGATAAAATCTTTGGGCAGCAAAAGTGTGTATATTGTATCTGGCTCTGCTAATCTATGAAGGGGTTAAATTTCTTTATTGTATAACACTGGCTAATGTCAGTAAGTACAGTACCTGAATAAAATTATCACTTATCAATGTAAATCATGATACTCCAAATTCGTGCCTTTTTACTTTCAGTGCAAGTTTAATAAAACAAACAATAATTAGGTTTCATAGTGAGAGTCTCAAACTCAGAAGTGTTGAATAAAGACTGAATACATTTTGACAAAAAATACCCGACCTCAGTTCTCAACTGATGTAATAAGGAATTATCACTAGCACAGCATCTGGTTAGGGAGCATGCGTATGTCTGTTATTTGATGACAAATATGGTCACCAGCTGGAGTCACTGATTTCTTAACCTGCCAAAATGATGGACTCAGGTTTTTTTTTTTTCCTAAGGCTTTCTTTACAGAAGAATATATCAGAGACCATCCAGAGGATCAAGAAAAGCTGAACAGACTCAAAGATCTAATTGCTTGGCAGGTAACTTCTACTAACAGCAGTCATCTGAGGCTTCGTCAGCTATTCCTTTTTTCTGTGCCTTTCTAGCAGAAGAACATAGCATTTAGACAGTTGTGTTATTTTTACCAGGGTTTTTTTTGTGGTGTGGGAAGGTTTTGTAGGGTTGGGTTTTTTTGTTTTGGGGTTTGGGATTTTTGTGTTTTTGTTTGGTGGTTTTTTTCTTTTTTTTTTTTACTGTTTCCCCAAAGCCGGGAGAGTTAGAAGAATGAGAAGATTCTTATTACAAACTTCCTGCCTAGTTCTGTGATGAATTCATAGCATTTTTTTGAAAAGGGACTCATGGTCTAAAAGAGAATATTTTACTAAACCTTTGGTTGCAGAGTATGTATAGTTGTAAAAGGACTATCTGTTTATTACCCTATGTAGATATTAGTAGTTTCCCTTAAGTAGGAAAAAGGACTTCAACTCTTTCAATGTTAATGTGCCTAACAGGAAGCATGTATTCCGTTACTAACCCACAAAGATCACTGACAACAGAGCATAGCAATAATTCCTTACCCTCTGATGTGGCATGTGATTGACAAAACATTCTTGGGGATCTAAGTGATCCTGTCCTTCAGGTTTTTTAAAATCTTTGCCTAAACTGCAGAAATGGGTTAATTACAAAAATCACATCATATTTCCTGGGGAGTATCATCATTAAAGTGACCGTTAAGAGTCAGATGAAATGCTACCAGAAGCAGGGGAATTACCCATATATCTCCTTATGTCCTAGGGGAAGCAGTAGGCCAGAAAAGTACTTTGTAGAACACCTCATTTGGAATGATTTGTCAAAGCCATGTATAGTGGGCTACACTTATGGTTAAAAGGGCCAGGATTTCAAACTCAGGTTGTATTCCTGGAGACAAAACCGAGAGCATGACAAAAGTCATAAGGACTTCATGAATTGCTGGGAAAACAAGCATTTGCAAATGTCAGAAATACTCTTGGGAAATACTCTTTCTTTTTTTTTATTGTTTTTTGTTTGGGTTTTGTTTGTTTTTTTTTTTTTTGCTTTAGAAACCTTAATGGAATGCTCGTTGCTCACAGGAGATATTTTCATGCTCAGTGGCCCTTCAGGATTGCTGCTATGTGTCTTTTCTGTGGCAAATAGCATGGAAGATCATTAGTAAATATTTTTAAGCTGTGTCTCCAGAGGAAAGCTGAATATTCTGCCTATACTAGCAGCACTGAGGTTATTTGAGTTTTTTAATTTATTGTTACATTATTTTATATATAGTGTAAATATGATAAGCCAACCTGCAGAACCCTTTTGTCCTCAAAGAGGAAAATGCACCTAGGGGAGGTGATAGCAGAAAAGACTCTATTTTTGCTGAGATTCAAGGGAAGGTGGCTCTTTTCATTGACCTTACCATTTGTTATGATAAGGGAGGGAAGAAAAACCTCAGAAATTATCAATTCTATTTGCATTATCTAGTCTAAATAGAAATTATTGCCATCAATATATGGCAAAATGAATGACTATGAGAGAAGAGGCTCACATTTTTGCACATAGGTAGTTTGTTAAGAAACCTCTAACTGCTACGTCCTCTGAAATGTAGATGATTTAAGTCAGAAAGAACTGTTTGCTGCCTAAATGAATGGGCATAGTAATTGCTCTATCGAGGTGTAACATAATTATCTCCCTTTCAAGAGGGATGTTATGAAATAGTGTGAGTTAATCTGGAATTTTACTATCAGAAGTGAATGGCTCAAGGTATTTCTCATCATGTTCCATGTTTCAATTTTTTGTAATAACTCGCTAAAAAATTCTTCCTCATTGATTTAATCTTACGCTGTCCTTGTAAGAGGGCTGCATCCAAAGCAGTGTGACCAGCAGGTCGAGGGAAGGGATTCTGCCCCTCTACTCCACTCTGGTGAGACACACACCCCCCGCCCCGTAGTACTGCCTTCAGCTCTGGGGCCCCCAACACAAGTAGAACATGGACCTGTTGGAGCGAGTCCAGAGGAGGCCACGAAGATGATCCAAGGGCTGGAGCACCTCTGCTGTGAGGACAGGTTGAGAGAGTTGGGGTTGTTCAGCCTGGAGAAGAGAAGGCTCCGGGCAGACCTTAGAGCAGCCTTCCAGTACCTAAAGGGGCCGACAAGAAAGGGGGGGAGGGACTTTTTACAAGGGTAGGGAGTGATTGAACAAGGGGCGATGGCTTTAAACTGGAAGAGGGAAGATTTAGATCAGATGTAAGGAAGGAATTCTTCCTGGTGAGGGTGGTGAGGCAGCGACACAGATTGCCCAGAGAAGCTGTGGATGCCCCATCCCTGGAAGTGTCCAAGGCCAGGCTGGATGGGGCTGTGAGCAACCTGGTCTGGTGGGAGGTGTCCCAGGTGGAAGGGGGGTTGGAACTGGATGGGCTTTAAGGTCTTTTCCAATCCAAACTATTCGATGATTCTATGATTCTATCTCTGTTTTGTAGATGAGAAACAGCAAGAATTAACAATTTATTCCTCTCTCAGCCTTGAAATGAATCTTCAAAATAGTTTTAATGGAATTTTTAGTACTATTTTCTTAATGTTTTTGAAGTTTCTTCCTGTTTCGTTTTGATTCATCTCAGTTTGGTCATTAGTTTGAGTCACCAACCTTTCCAGCTTTCTCCTGTATCGTTGCCCACCACAGATCTGTCAGTAATAGATGGGCTTTAATACCATGTTTTTAAAACTTATATTGAAATTAAATTTCCATAAAATATGATCAAGTCAATAGGTGAACTGATGTGTATGATATTAATAGTATTTATAGGGTCAGAACACAAAAAGGAAGTGTGGAATCTGTGTGGATTTTACAAAAAAGCCCCAAACATTAATGCAAAATAGCTGAAAGTCAATGCTAAAGCTGGTAGAACAGGTTACTGGCAGAAAGGTAGCTAAAAGAATGTTGCACAAATCTCATATATCACCGTCTTCAAAGACTGAAGAGTAGTGAATTGTCTTTATATTTTAGAGAAGCTCTACAAAGTTTCTCTTTGTGAATATGTGTATTATTAATTAAACAGCATGTCAAAGTGTGCTGCCCGTTACCTTTGAAGATAAGATTTGTTTTGTTTGCTTTTAACTGGGTATTATTACACTAATATAACAGCAAAGGCAATAGTAGCAAGAGAATAGCAAAGGAAAGCATTGTAGGGAAGAGGGTTAGAAAGGTAGTATCACTATCACATTTGCTTCATTATAAGTGTTTGTTTTTTTTTTTCTTTGGTAAACAAGCCATTCCTTCTGACAAAGGAGAAGGATTTTTTAAGAAATTCAAGTGGAGGGAGATATTTAATGAACGGCTAGACCTTTTATTAACCTTTTTATCAGGTGTTCTCCTTTAAGGGAGTAGGTATCTATACTTCCCTTCTGCACTCCCACCCTCTACCCCCACCTCGTTTTTAAAAACTATTGTTATGTACCTTCTTTCAGCTCTAGTAGGAAGAACCAGAGATATTAACCCCTTTGCTTACTTGGCACTGACCCCAGCCTAAAGGGTGAGCAGCAAAAAGGAAAAGCACAGGTTAAAACCTAGCAAAGGCAGCCTAGTTAGTGCAATCTACTGTGTTCGTGGCTTCGGTTGTTCATTTTTGTATTGAAGCATTATCTTACTGAGTTTTTCTTGAGATATGGGGAGTACAGAGGAAATCTGCAGAGTAAAATCAAGGAGAAAGGAAGAGGTAACCTTCAGTAATCAGGCATTAACATACTAAATTGCAGCAGCAATTGTCAAAGTGATCACATGATTAAGCCCCCAGTAGATCAGTTTAAACCTTTCCCAGTCACTTAACTCTCTGATTGAAAGGGAAGAGTTTGAAACCACCTGCCTGGAATCCACTTGGATATTTTTTCATCCCTACCTTCTTTCTTGTAAACTGTGGCAGGCACTTTGATAAGCAGGTGGGCTAGTAGTCAGAATTTTTAAAACTCTCGCACGGTGTGTTTAATCTCATAAGGGATTAACATTAACATGCATAGAAGAGAGAAAACAGTCACTATGAGGCAGCCAATATTCTTGAAAAATTTACTGAGCAAGCCCATTTTTCAGGAGTGAGCCCTTTCCATCTTGTGGGTGCTGCTAAAAGCTGAGATCAACTGATAAATCTATCTGCCAGTCATAACAAGAGTTTTGCAGTTGACTTAGCAGGTACTTTAAATGGAGTTAGAGGGGTTGTCAGACCCAGTTTAATATTCTCACTGTTTTTCTTTTTTCCCCTCTTCAAGATACCTTTCCTTGGGGCTGGAATTAAAATTCATGAAAGAAGAGTTTCTGATAATCTTCGTCCTTTCCATGACCGTATGGAGGAATGTTTCAAGCATTTAAAAGTTAAAGTGGAAAAACAATATGGAGCCAGAGAATTGGTATTGCTCTCCTTTTAACCTCTCTTGCAATTTCTCTTTACTTAATACATATCTTGTTCTGCTAAACAAAAACACATACTAAACTGTTGTTGCTTGTGGGTTTTCTTGTGATCTGAAGGTAGTAGGACCTGAGTTTTATAGTCAAAGACTTGATTCAATTCTCCAACATGTCAGATACTCTTATTCTGGAAGATTTGGCGTATTTTATTATGTCTATTAAAATTGCAATTCTTTTCCGCCTTATTAAGGAAGTAAAAGCAAATTCTCATGTTTCTTCTCTTTGTAATTTTTCTTAGTGGTTTAGGGCTTTGATGTGCAATTGATGTCTCCCTGTGCTAGCCACTTCCAGCTGTGTTGTGAAGTAAAACCTATCATGTGTATAATACTATAAATATTAGTTGAGATGAACTGAAATATATGGGTATTGAAAGATAACTCCTAAACACAAACTCTCCAGTCAATTCTTGAATAAAATAGTCTATCTGAGCTTGTGCACGCTAGCAAGAATGATGTTGGCTGTTTTTTGTGATTAAATACCAGTTGCTTTGGAAATTATTTTATGTTGTTGCTTTCAGCATTGATGCTTTTATAAGAGGATTTATTTCTTCTGTTATAGGGGGAAAAAGTAGCAAGTCTCTAACCTAAATTTTGGATATTGTGCTGTGTTACACACCTGTATGATGAAAATTCTATATATTTATCTCAGTATGGTTTTTTATTTTCAGTCCCATACCACCATCTTTGCAATAATAAAGAGACTGTAACCCATAATTAGCAGTCTTGCCTAATGCCTGAACCCTTCAGCACTGTTACAGATCAGCACTTAAAAAAAGCAACCAATTTAAAATTTTGCAAGAGCAGAGAATGTACTTTGTGAATGGTACTACTGCCATTTTGGCATGTCTGACTCGCTCTGGTGGCTGGCCTGAGCTTTTTGATTAAAAGATAAGGGGAAAAAAAAGAGTGATGCAGCTATTCTGTCTTTATCACAAGATTATGGCCATTCAAAGGATAAGCAGCATGGGAACTCACTGCATGGGAACTCACTGCATGGGAACTCACTGCATGGGAACTCTGCAAAACACTTGAAAATAATTGTTGAAACTACAAATGATTCGAAGTCTTCTGCTAGACATCAGAGTCTTAGTGAGATATGACATCAGAAGCAAAGTATTTGGAAATTTGGCATATGAAATTATGCATAAATTTTTATATTTTCTAGATAATCAGAACAAAACCCTATGCTTTAATATGAAATGTTTTTTAAAAGTCATTCATATCATGTTTATAGGATAGAAATTGAAGTAGGCTGGAAAAGTAGTTTATGGTCTGCACGCACTGGGAAATTCTCAAAACCCTGCCTCATATCATGACGCTGTGCTGAGCTGACTGGGGGGAGGCATGCTCATCCCAGGAAATACTTGAACAGAAAAGAGAGAAGAGCTAACTGTGCTCTGCGATTTTACATCCCAGAAGCCACCCCTGAAGAAAGGAAACAGTTCTAGAATTAGCCAAGAAATGTGATCCTTGTCCCTACCTCATTAACAAGAGGAACAGGAAAGCATTTGGAGATAAGCCAGATTGCTTCAGTTAACTTTGTACCAGGCTGCAAAGCCTAAATAACCATCAACATTAAGCTGAATATTTCCAATATGATAGCTAAATCTTCTTCAGGAGAAGGCTATATTAATGTATAGAGATGGCAGAACCTGTTGTATTGAAGACAGAGCATGATTAATGTCTTGGAGCAAGGACTAACAAATCTATTTGCCCAAGCAAGTGCTTTAATGGCATGCCCCAGGTCTATTCAAAATGAGATCAGCAGACACTGTTTCTCTTCATTTCTTTTTCAAACATACAGTTAATTATGTCAATTTTAGTTTATTTAGCTACTCACTGTATCATTGAGTTTGGGAGGTCTTAGAGTATATTCAGACAGAAGATACAATCACAGTAATTAATGCTTTCATGCCAAGGGTTAAAACCTCTGTGCTACCTTCAAGATGTAGTGAAAAGGGATGAAATGAGGTTCACACAAAGTTGTTTGATAGAATGTGTTTCTCTTTTCCATCCTGTAGCCAGATTTTGATGACAAGAGAGTAGGACGGCCAAGATCGATGCTGAGATCCTATCGTCAATTATCAGTTATTTCACTGACTTCCATGAATTCAGACTGCAGTACTCCAAAGAAAATGGCTTCAGAAAGGTTGGTTATAAATACAATACAAATTTTCTTTCAGTCCTGTTTTTTAACTAGTTTTATGGGATGAAACTAAAAAAATTTTTAAAACGGCATTCAGGGATAAAGACTGCTACCAGTCGCTTCAGAATACGCCAAAATTATTTTTAACTGTAGCTATGACTTCCTCCAGTCTTAAAGCTACAGTGTTTCAACATCAATAGACAAAATACACTCAACTCTCCCTGAAAAAAGTGGCATTTCATTTTTGGAAAACAAGTATTTTAAAATTTAAATGAAATTAAAAAAAAATACAAAGATCTGAGGTTTTTGCAAGTTTCTCTTCATATAGCTTTAAACTTAATTAGCATCTTTTTGCTTGTAAAATTTGGAGAGGAAGAGGACAACATTTACAAACTTACAAGTAAGGACACGGAACGTTTTAGTAAAGCCTGTAATAATACAAAATACTTTGTCTAATGTGCTTCCTTAACTGCAGCACTGGGAAACATAAAGACTTTAAGTCTGAGAGAACAGTTATAGGTGTATTGAATAGCTATTTCATCCACAGATTGTTTTGTTCGCTTTATAAATTATCCTTTGGGCACATAGAACTTCTTCCCAAACAAGGTACACACAAAATTGATCTTGCTGAATAGTGTTGATTGTGATTTTTTTTTTAAAACATCTGAACTCCCTTTTTGAGTAGTTCACTTTTAAAAAGTCCAAAGGTGTATGACCCTAACTTGGAAGTGTTTCTTCTTAAGATACCCCTCTCTTGCATGTTTGACTGCCAATTTGTTGTTTAACACTACTCTCTGAAATTATTTGAGTTGTCTAACAAAGATGTGTAGTATCACATGTTATGAGATGCCCCAGGCTGCTCTTCCTGCCTTTCAGCTTCCACTCAAGAAGGGTGTAGCACACAAACATGATTTGTGTCATATCTCTGATAAAGCAGGACATCTCCTATGGAACCAGACAGCTACACTTAAGCAGCTGAATCATGCACTTATTTTTAATTCTTATGATGCTAATTTGTTTCTAGGAAGCATGGGTCAACAAATTCACCATACTACTTGATTTAGCAATTTTTATGTTGTAAAATAACTTCAGCCCCATGTCCAATAGGCTAATTACATCAGCAGAGAAGGGAGTGAAGCCAGCACCAATTTAATACTTGGTTGTGGGTTTTTTTTAAATGAAAAATAGCCCAATTTTTAAAGTATAAAAATCAGAGGAAGAGAGGAGGGAGATTTTTTTTTGTTGCTGGGTATGTGCGTTGTTGTCCAATATGGTGAAATAAATAGGAGAATGCATCTAAAACATGACAATACTCTATTCCACTGTTTTCAACAACCAAAATAGCATGTCTTGCTTTCAGCACCATCATCACCGCACATAAGCTGGCCATGTGAGCTCTTAAACACTCTTAGGAGTTCTTAAGCTAACACACAAATCTTTAAAAAGGGATTTGCACTCATATTAATGTTTTACATTCTTTGCAACATTTTAAGACAATGTCATACCTCCTGAAGCCATCTTACTTGTATCTACAGTTGCCAGCTAAAGCACATCGTATATTTTTTGCCAACAATTTGCAAGGCTGCATAGAAAGTCAAAGGAAAGGATGACCTGCATTTATATTTCATGGGGAAGTGACATCAGAATACCAGTGGCTTTTGAAATATCATTCAGCAACTTGTGCTTTTTTCTTTTGCTCCTACAGCTTTGATCTGGAAGCAGTGCTACCAAAGCAAGTAAAAGCAGAATCAGAGGAGACTGCTTTGCAAATTAATCCTCACCCTGAAGTAAAGATGAGAAGGTCCAAAAAAAGAACAAAGAGAAGCAGTGTGGTGTTTGCCGATGAGAAGACAGCACCTGATGTTTCTATCTCTGACATGAAATGTGTATGTTACTGATTTGGAGTAGTATTTTATAACCTGTAAAAAAGGACATTAGTCCTTTGCTAAGGGAAAGAAAAATATATCCCATAGAAGTCTAGCTGTCATAAAGGGAAATGTGCAGGAGGCAGAGATGATCTGCCTGCCATGAATGAAACCTGCAAGATGCTGAGGAGGAAACAAATCAATGGAAAAATCAGTATATCTCTACTTGCTTATGATGACAGATAATATAGCACTGAAGTTGCAAATTCTGAAGCTTGGTTAGCTTAAAATGGAGTCCTATATTGGGAGGGTTAAGCTAGCTTTCCTATGGAGAGGCAATTGACTGTGCTGACATTTCACGGCAACTCCTTGCAGTCAGGGCTATTTCAAAAGTGATGAGCCTTGTACGTTTTGTACCTTGTTATGGAACATGCAGCTGTTAGGAAACTGCAAGATTGCAAACAGTGTTCCTTAAATGGTGCCAGACTGAAGTTTGGAAGCACTGGTATCTCTCGCTCCATAGATCATCTGAGTGCTTTTATTGCACTGCTAGATCATTAGAATGACTTATATAACTTTCACTATGCTTTTTTTTTTTGGTAGTTTAATTCTCAGGAGACTTTTCTTCTTTTAGTATAAAGAGAAAGAATACCAAAACAAAATTTGAAAGATGTCCTCTTGATACACAAGCCCTATCTAAATTGTCAGGCAATAACAGATTGTTGAATTACATGGAGAGGGCATAAGTCATTTGATCAAAAATTTTTGGAGGAATTGTCAAAGGCAAAGTGAATTCAGTAGAAATTTAAGATTCTTTTGGGAAACAAGGAGACACTTATGGAGGCTTATGATTGTCTTACATGAAGTGCCCTAATACAAAAGAGAGATACAAAGCACAGTCACGCTCTGAGAAGCATTAATATACAAAACCAAGCAACACCTTTGTCTTTTGATTAAATCAGGTAACACATACACCTAACTGTGGGAATTTCACTCCATACTGAGGTATAGGATTTTCTTTTGCTTCTGAAAAATAGCGACAAGCCTCGCAGCAGCCAAGCTGTCTATGTTAATGCAATAGGGAAAAATGTTTTCAAAACTTCATTTTACTTTGCAGATCACATTCAGAGCTGGCTGATGGTATTATTCCAAAGATATGGTAGGAATACCATCCTACAGTTCCAGATTACACAATGTCTTGTAGCTGGCTTTTTTAGATTAATGTTTTTTCTATGTGGAATGAGAAGTATTTATCTAACTACAAATCATCTGCAAAATCATTACATATTTTTAGCCAGTATATAATATTATATGTGGGCCCAATTCAACTGCTTCTAGTTACTTTTATTGTTTACTCAGCAAACAATTCCATAAAGAACTCGGGTTAGGCATGATTGATTGTTTAATTATTTTCTTTTATGCTTTTCACAAAATATTATTTTGCTTAGATATTTGCTTATATATCAGTTCATCATTAATGGCTTTTTTTTTTATTAAACAGCTGTCAAGGAAATACGAGTTCATGAGTGACACAAACCTCTCAGAACATGTAGTGCCACCTCAGAAAACATCTGTCCTCAAGCAGATGAGTTCTGTCAGTCGTTCTATGCCAACTATCCCAGGTAAGCTGCTTACAGTAAGACAAGAGTTCTGCACTTCTGTATTGCCGTGTTAAGAAAACATAGCGATAAAGGGTTTGCTCCAAGCAGAGCAGGTAGCTCACTCTATGCAGCTCCGTGCCTCTGAGACAAAGATTACAAGTGACGTGTGTATTGTGCACGTGAAGCTGGACTGCTACTACTGCTTGATAACGCTGTGCTGCCTAGTGCTAACATGCAAATTCTAAAAGTGTTACTTCTGGAGCTCTGAATTTTGCTTCCTTTTGTAGTGTGGCCACTCTCCCTGCCTTGAAAGAGGCAAGGTTTATTCATCTTCCTTGCTTTGCAGGGTCTCATTTGCAGAAGCAAGGGCATCTGCAGTCCGCCCTCACAGCTGAGGGCAGCGTTTGAAGCAGGAAGAAGTGCTCTGTACTTTGCTCTGCCAGATGAATATCCCCAAAGGTTGCCCCATAGTAGGGTTTCAGCTTCTGCTTTTGATGTTAGAGAGGAATTTCATAAGCCTCCCTCACAGCAAGAGGAAGGGGAAATGAGATAACATAGCAGCCCACTAGAAAAACTAACAGTTGCATGATAGAGAGGGGGAAAGTGTAACTGAAGGTGGAACTCATTTCTAGGCCAGAGTGTGTAGAGAAAATGTGCCCTATTTCAATATCCTTTACTCCCTACTTCTTCCATAGCACATCCCATTTCTTCACCTGCACTTCATCTGTCCCTTTCATTGTCCCTGTCTTTCCAGCTGCCTGTTACAGACACTTAACACAACAGACTGTCATGGCCCAGTTTTTCATGCATTTATCTATTTTTTTCTTCTTTGGCCAGCTTGGTTCATTTTTTTCAGTGTTCAGTTTCAATGTGGTAAAGTTTAGTGCTTCCCTGTTACTTATTTTTGTATTCTAAGGATATAGTTAGATTAAAAATGTCTCACTTCTTTCTGGTAATTGCAGTAGTTCATTATTTTGATTTCTGCTTTGTCTTACACTCTGACTCTCCTTTTTTGGTTTTGTTTCGTGCAACCAATATGTTTCTATTCTAAGGATTAACTCTGTCCGTCAGCCCTGCGGCACCTGATGAAACAATTGCATCACATAGGTTGAGTCAACCAGTGTTTCCTTCCACCTCAGATGGTGACAAGAAAACCTTCAAAAAAAAGAAAGTGAACCAGTTATTTAAAACAATGGTAAGTTCTATGTGTTTTGGGGAAAAAAGAGAGCGCTACCTCTTCAAAAATTCTACGCTCTGAAAATTAAGTAATTTTTAAAATAACATGAGATCACAGTCAAACTCTTACTTCCTTTTTTTCCTTCTCTCGTCAGAGAGAGGTAGAAGCTGTATGGGGAAGCGAAGATTTGCCTGTGGCTGTGCTTTCTGGAGTACGGCTGTCTGTGGGTGTGTGTGTATAACAGGCAGGCTCAGATGTGCAGTTCCGCGTGTGTACCACAAGAGGTCTCATTTGACCGGCTGATTGATTCCTTTTCTCTGACATTTATTAGCAAAAGAGGAAAGCAATTATTTCTTGGTCGGTTTAATTACATGGGGCAGTTAGCACTAGCACCAGAGTAAGGCAAGCATAGCATATATGGCAAAACATGCACAGTGTGAATCAATTCCTGAAGTCAGAGGTGCTTATTTGAAAGTAGATTGGCTTACACTGGAGTCATTAATGTTGCTTAGAGCAGGTTGCCTTCCTTTGAAGTAGGAAACCTTTCACTAACTTCTGTTGAAATTTCACAAAATTAAAATTTGAATTTAATGCAGTGTTTGAATGCAAAAAAACATGTATATTCAGTGCAGATACCAAGATTCAAAAGTTTTAAAGTTTTTCTATTTTTTCAGGTAGTGGGAGGGTGACATTTAATGCAGGTGCTGGTAGCTAGTGATATGTACAGCATAAGCATTCTATGACACTTGTAATATTTTAACATGTCAACTCCTTGCTGATCTTTCAAAGCAAAAGTTGATTTTTAATTTTTTTTT